AAATTTTGAAGAATAGAGGAAGACATAACAATGATAACGATGAAATTGGCGACATCATGATCACTTCTTTCCTTCGCCACTTCTGTTGTAACACAGTTATGTTCCCGAATATCTTTACTATATCATTTATGTTGACAATCACTAATATGAACTGTTCCAGTTTAAAAATACACTGAATTTGAGGCGTAATTTATGAAAAAAAAAAATTCTATAGAATAATTATTTCTATCAGTAACAAGCGGTATGTCATTGAACTATTATCTATGATACTCTCAAAAATTTAAATTAGAACAGCCGCCTGATATTATGGTATTAATGAAATAATAACATTTGTATTGTTTTTGTTTAGTATTTTTGTACATATATATATATTGAGTAAATTATTTCCTTGTCGGTCTCATTCTCTTCAAAAGTTGTTTTTTATAGCGTTAGTATCATTAAATAACAATTTCAAATTTCGTTAATTTTAAATTTACGATATGAGAAGATGTACTGAACATAAAACATTAGTTACAACGAGTGCCCCTAGGTTATGACCTTGTAAGTTCAAAATTTAAAAAAAAAAAGAACAAATTCATTGAATGAGAAAAAATTCCTCAAAACCTAGAAAAAAAAGATGAAAAAAAAAATTAAACGATTTTTATTCACGGCCGAAAGTTTTGATGAAAATTTACCCAATTAGAAGCTAAAAATTTTCTTATTTTCTGCGTTGTTTCACCGATTTCATCTTCAATCATTCATCAGATTTAACGTATAGCACAATACGTTTTGCATTAAATTTATTCTTGTCAATTTTTTTGGCTTAGTAAAACTTTCAACATTTTGATTTATTTCATGAAAACTAAGGCTATATTTTCAAACAGAATAAAATATCCAAAAAAAAAGTTTTTATAAAATGTATTGAAAATGAAAAATTAGTTATAAAATGAAAAATTAGATAAAATATCCAAAACAAAAGAAATTTTTACAAAATGTATTAAAAATGAAAAATTAGTTAATTAGTTATATATATCAACAAAATACTGATCTAAAATCATTTAATCATATATAAAGAAATTTCGTTTAGGTTGAAATTCAATTTAAGCTGAAAAAAATTCTTTTTTAAATTATATTCTGAGTGGTATAATTTGTAAAAGAAAAAATTTGCGTCGTCATAATTTATTTTCAACGGTTAAAAGTTGAAGTAATTAAAGGTTAAAAATAATGAATATTGCAAGAATTATGAATGATCATCAAAATATTGCATTGGGGAAATGATATTGTTTGTTCAGCCACCTTCAACGATTACTCAAAATTTATCAATTATTAGAAATTTTAATTTAGCAACAACAACAAAAAAAAATTCACATTTCAAAAGGTTGGAAAGTTTTGAGGAAGGAGAGACAGATACATATGCTAATACTGTTAAAATCAAATTTTAAAGTTTTAAAATTTAGAATTTATTAAATTCATAAAAAAAGCAAATATCAAGAAGTTTCAAGCAACTTACGTCTATTAAAAGTAGCAGTATAAATTTATTTAAAATTTAAAATGACAAAATTTAATGAAATCTGATGTTTTCAATTTATCAATTTTTATTTATTAAAAACTTACAATTTTCAATTTTTACCCAAATGTATTACATTATTTCTTATTCGTTATATGGCATAAGGTGATGAACATAATATTTTACTTAGTGGATGATATTATTACTTTACTGGTTTAAATCTAACTTTAAATCATTTCTTAAGAAATTTTCAAAAAAAAAGCATTTTTTCTTCTATCTTTTATGATCAACTTTTTTCTTCATTACATCAGCAAACTTATTAACCATTCTTTATTTGATATACTACTTAAATAATAATATTTTCGATGTCATTTTTACATTCAAATTACACTTCTTATAAATGAACGATGTGACGATGGGAAAAAAAAGAAAAAAATTTAGAACAACGTTTGGAATGGTAGAGTGTAATGGGTGAATTATCACTTCATACATATTGCATTGGAAAAGCTAAATTTCAATACATTCATTTCTTTTTTTCCTTTTATCTGAAAAACTGAGACTTTTTTTCTTACTTTTTTATTTAAAAAAAAAAAAAAGCATTGAATAAAATAAATCAACGGAACAAACCAAATAACCATAAAGAGTTAGTGAAAGATAAGTGAAAATAGTTTTAAATTGAGCACAAACAAGTGATGCCAAATTCTAAATTTTAAAATTCCGAATTAATTCTTCAGAAATACGACAGGTTTTGGCTAATTCAATTTGCATCGATTGTAAATTCATTCTATCGATGTCTTATTTAAAAAATTACTTATCTAAATTTAAAACGATAGTTTTGAATTTTTCAAATAATATCCGGAGCATTTCTGATTGTTAGCAATTCAGCAAACATTTTGATTCAGCAAGCTTGCAATATAAAAATTGTTTTCTTAGTAGTTTTTCTTTTCTTTTTTTTTCAACATGGGGAAAATCGAATCGTTGTAAATTTAAATAAATCTTAAGACCATCTTGCTAATGAAATTCATCCACTAATATCAAACTGTCAAGCCGGCAATAAATTGTGAAACAACGAACGAATTGAAATTTGATGGATTAAAATTCTTAGAAATTGAATGGATTTACAAAAGAATGTTGCAATTGGGCGATGACATCAAAACAGAGCACATCCACAAATTCATGCTGCCAAAGATAGATGTTTGTCTCATTTAAGAAACATTAATACTTTGCAAGTAGCAAATTAATGTAAGTTAACCGAACCTTAACTTAAATCAAATTAATGTAGCTTAATTGAATCCTTACATCTCCCTTTTTCTTCCCCCTTTTTTTTGAAAGCTTGGTTCTCCCACTTCTCTAAGTTTTCAACGGTGGTATAAAATCTTTCCAGCATTCCAGAAATTTCATCATATGTCGGAATGCACTGCTAAATATCTCCAACTATATCATTTATTATTAAATATCTTCAATTCTAGCTGCTTCTCATGCCAATACAACTTCAATTATTGTTAACTCCATTTAGCGATAATCGTAGACACCGTATCTGTTGTATTATTGCGTAATTGTTAATAGATTCGTATCAGTAACCTGATCAATAAGACATGACGATCCAACTCAGACTTCACTTGTCTCGATGCCATATTTTGTTAATATGACATGTCAAATTGCCATAAAGTCATAATAATACTGAGATTAATTCACAAATACATGAAAAATTTTATTTCATTTTCTTTTACAACAAAGTTTATACAATTTCTGACATCCAAAATATGAGAAATTTAGAAAAATAAAGCATAAAGATTTTATATCAATATACACGATCATTTGGTAAGACTGATCACATATTCAACATAAATCTATGCTGGAAAAAGAGATTACACTAACGATAGTTTCAAAAATCCACAATCAAGAAATTATTGTAAAAAATATAGATGATTCTCTGAATAATTAAATAACACAAACAATAAATGAGCATTGGTTTAAATAAATTATGCAAGATCGTAGAGTTATATCAGGTGTCAAAGTTGTCATTAAAACCAATTAAGTTTAAGGCAATGAAGAATAGCACTTCTTACCTATAATCTTCAGAACGAGCACCATGATAGCAAAGCTTTTTTCAGCCACCATGGTTCCTTCACAACGAAAAACCTGTCGCTCTATCAAACTTTCAAACTTTTTCATATCCTGTATAAACTTTACGATCTTTCCTTACATTTACAATCTTTACTATTTCTGCTAATACAGTGATCCCAGGCAAATTATTGATTTGTCACATACAAATCAGAATCCGCTACAATTCAGTGCCCCACTCAAACATCAATGAATGGTTATCCATTAGGAATCAAACTCAAACAATGATGGAAATATGACATGAATGGCGATTTCCCATTAATCTGGTCATTTTAAATCAATTTGGTTACCCTTTTAATGCTACATATCCCTATCGAAAAAAAAAATACTTTCAGCTCAATTAAAACAATTACGTCTTTCCATACCTATTCTGCTATTGCTTTTTCCAAATGCGACGAACTATCTAGCAACATTATGGAGAACCATTGTCTTATTTCCAAATATCTTGGACTGTCGACTTTCCATGTAAGGAAATTTCTAAGTGAGTTAGTTATAACTTAATCATGAAATAATAAATAAACATTGATTTTGGAACAAGCTTGTGGGAATTTGAGAATGCTCATAAAGATTAAAAATTTTCAATTTTTGTAGCCACGCGACTTTCTACGTCCGCGAGCCTGAAACACTTTATTTGTAGCACAACAGGAAATCAAACATTAAAAACAAGCATCGCAATTCCTGAACTGTTAAACCTGATAAGGGACACCTCCTAATTCCTTTGTACATACGGATGGGTTACAAATAGATACTATAACTCAGAAAGAACTTACGCGTTCAAATTTGCGTCCCTTAGAACGAACAAGTGGTTTAGTATGACTGTGCGGTACACCTGGTGCTGGACCGAAATGCCTTTCAGCTAATCGATGTTTCCGTGGTCCTTGCAATAAGAAAGTATTTTCTCCACGTGGTGCGCGCAAAGCGAGTTGATCCAGCGTAATTATCTCACCACCTGCTTTAATTATTCGAGCACGTGCTCCTTTAGTCACATGCAATGCAGCAACCTAGAGATTTGTTAAACCAGTGGCTCAAATTATCCCTCGATTACTAACACTACACACGTCAGAGCACCATTTATTCCTTCAAAACAACAACATGAGCGATATGAAAAGAAGAAAAACTTGCAAAACGAACCGTAAGTTTGGGTATTTCGAAAATGCGATTATCATCTGTAATCGTCCCAACTACCACCGCTATTTTCTTTATATTATCACCTCTTTTCATGTAACGTATCAAACGAGCAAGTGACATAGGTGGACGATGGCGACGCGCCATCATTAATCTTTTATTAATAATTCTGTTGAATTTTTCACCAGTTCGACGAGCCAGATATTTATATAACTAAATTATTGCAACTTAAATTAGAGCTACTCAAACATTACATGAAACCCATCCTTTAGCAACAAATAATGAAACTGGCACAACAACCTTGCACGAATCCGTTAAAGCGGAGGGTAAAATTGGCCGCAAACCTATTTTAAGTACCCTTTTACTAATTTACACAACAAAATGATTATAACATAATAAAATCAGCTACAGGCAGCACAACTTCAATATCCAATAAATTAAAAAACAAAAACAAAATCTTGTTCATCCAGCAGGTTTGGAAAGAAACTGGTATCAATTGATAGAAACTACCTTAACTAAAACTCGAATGTATGGATCCTCACTCTTTGGCGCTTTACGCCGAACTTTGCGATCATATTTATGATTTATATCGATACCCTGTAAATGCAACTTTTACAATGAAAATCAAGCTTGCTTTGTCGGTTAATCCTATCCATCAATAAATCATAACCCCACCGGAAGCAGTGTAAAAAAGCTACCGATAGCTCCTAATACCCGAAGATTACCATTATTTAGACATTATAAAACTATCTCCTACCTGACTTCCGTATATTTCCAATTACCATTATTTAGACATTATAAAACTATCTCCTATATGACTTCCGTATACAACCTACAAGCGTTTACTACTATGAAAAAATTCATGAGCTTATAAAAATTTAAAAAACTGTATTTTCAAAAAAATAAATTTCACAAAAGAATAACAAAATTTACCATTTTTAATACCGAACTGTTCCCTGCTTGTCCCTACGCTGAAATTAAATTGATTTAATTATGAAATCAATTTATAAACCAGACCTATAAAGAGGCGGATGATTTCTGATCCATTTCAGCCTCACCATTCTCATACAAATACTGCTCAATCATCACTGGGACAATTCTGCCCACATAACGCTCCCCATTAAATAAAATGGTTTGCGAGCGACCTGTCGGCCTTCCAGGTCTCACAATCCTACCCACGCATTCCGTCCAACCAACCAGGACGGCAAGTAGGCTACTGGGACGACGTGCGTTTGGTCTGATTTAGCGGGTGGGGTGTGGGGATGGGTGGTTGGGTGATGGTGGAGATGGGTGCGTTGGTGACATTTAAATTCGAAATACGAGCAATCGTCACCAACGACACTCGAGAAAACTAAGTAATCCTATCATTTTCAAAATTGCACGGGCAGTCTTGTTAGGCCACTATTTCACTACGATGATCATTGCACTTCGAAAAATTCATATCCCAAAGGAATTTTACAATTTTCCTCCCGCTCTGTGAACAATTTGAATCGTACGTTGATAGGTGTAATCGCTTAACTATGTACTAACATGCAGTTCTGTACGTAAAGCAAGGAATGAATCTCTCGGGAAAAAGGAAGTAGAGATGATTTTCTATTTTTAGGGAAGATATTATAGATGGATTGTTTTTTATGCCATTGCTTTCATGCTTTGAAGAAGAATGATGATAGGTTAAAAATATTACTTGTATATTTCCCTTACCAACATTAAAAGCGGTTGACGGCAAAAATATCTTTCGGATATTTCGAAAAAGTATGGGATATTGTGATGATGGATATTCTCAATTTGCATATTATTCCTTTTTTTTTTTTAATTTATTGGAATTTTGAAATCTAAATATGGATAAACAAATCGCCAAGAGCAGTTAGTGTTGGCGATTTCTCAATCCATATTTAAATTTCGAAATCGTCCGGTTATTACATTATCGTAGCATAATTAGTAATGTGAGTTGTTGCATAAGGGAATTAATGAGATTAGCCATCAAATTTTGCATATCACTGTAAATACTGAATCGTCCATTTTATACATTTAGTGTTCCCGTGTACTTCATCTTACTCCACGATTACACTGAAAGATGAAGAGGAAACGGTAGTTTAGTTTGAAAAATGGTACAGATTTCCATAATAGGAACGTAATGGTGTAGAGATTGAGAGCTATAAAATAGCGCACTACTAAAGAGGAAAGAGGGATTGCTGCAATTTTTGAAATGCAGTGTTGTGGAAAACTGAGAGATTAGGTAAGCACATGCGAGTTATTGTGATAGCAGAGATAGAGAAGGAAGAAGTATAGCGTAATGTGCGAACTGAGTCGAAACTGGGAATGCCGTGAAGGAGGAAGGCACCATGATTCCAACCTTTATGTACGTGGATTTGTTTGTAGATAGGATGTTTGGAATTGGAGAATTTTCGTGCTTATGTTCATTCTGTGATTTTTATGAGATTTTAGTAGATTATTTGCCTCACTTCCCGGAGCAGAATTGCACAGTTTCTCATCTCATATGCTTTTTTTCATACCTTTATTCCATACTTTTGATGGTAATGATAATAAGTTAAAAATATTACATGCTTCGATTTTTCTTGCTTCTATTAAAAGTGACTGAAGGCAAAAATATATTTGTTGAGTGTTTTCAGGGTTCCGATAGCTGATATAAGACATGAGCTTGGTTGACTTATCGTTGGATGAAATTATCGCACGTCGAAAAGTATGTTTTTCACATTTCTCTCAATTATTTACATAATTTGCAAAGTGATGTTTTCATCACACCTCTTTTTTACGTTAGGAAAGAACACTATAATTTTGTTTATTAAGTGCTTGAGATATAAAACAAAATCATGCAGCTGATTTTCATTGCAGTTTTTGGTTAAAAAAGGAAAAGCAAATATACAATGTAGATTTCATGTTTACTTCCTTTATCTTCTTCGTAAAATCTATTTTTTTACTCGTATTATCACTTTTCTTGTCTGTTTTTGTTAAAATCCTAATAGTTTGAATGGAAGAATGAAACACTGCCCTATTTTTTCAGGGAGCGAATAAAAAATCAAATGGTTTCATCAATCGTTTCCGTAACAACAAAAAGAAACGAGATTTTGCTCCAAAATATACCAATACCAATCCAACATTCACGAGAGCGGAGGTAAATTTGCTACTAACTCATAACTTTGTTGCCTTGAAGTACCAAACCATACACCTCAAACACTTAATTGAATGAGATTCTGGAGGTTTTTAAAGGATTTACTAATGTGGTCATGAATTTCACTTTTCGGTTTTCTTTCATCATTAACTAACTGCTGTTGCCTTATGTAATTACAGTGATATATATCACTTTATTGATGATGGTGCCTCACTTGGTCACAACTGAGCTTAAAATATATCACAACATTTTGAAATTCAATGGTCTTAATTAATATTCTGACGTTTTTATTCTCAAAGAAAATGTTTATTTTCGCTATTCCCATATGATTATGTTGCTGATTATTCCATAACTTGCAGGATGTACCATCGGGCAAATGGGATCATAGCGGATTTGAAGAGATGTACGGCAATGGGTCTGGTGGTAGTTCATTACGTGTAGCACCAGGACGTGGTGGACGATTCAACCGTGTTGATTTAGCAAAAAAAGTGCGACTTCACATCACAAATCTAGCACCAACGGTCAATTCAGCCGACCTCAATGTATGTTTTGGTATTAATAATATAAATAAGGGACAGTATTAAATCTGAGCTTAAGATTTTTATGCAGTGGATTGATTTGTGGTTGAAATCATTACGATATTAACACGCATTAATCATTGCGAAATAATGATACACGCATCTTCTTTAGGGCACTTAACAGAATGGTTTTCCGGTCTTTTCATTTTCAGCTCCATCTTATAACTGGATGACTGATTGATTCCAATATGACAAATCTCTGTGATTGATGTAAAAGTGTGCGCAGATCAGTCACAGTAACATAAGCAAGATGGACCAGTTTTGTCGTTATAGCACAAATTTGTTTTTTGATTCTAAGTATTTTCAAGTAGTGCCATCTGATTTATTTTATCAAATCAGGCAACGGTTTGATCTTTCAGGAACTTTTCGAGCAGTATTCGATTATCTCAGCCAATGTTAATCACGATGAAACGGGGAAGTCGGTGGGTACAGCTGATGTTGTGACTGATCGAGTTACCGCTAGGGAAATTATCGCCAATTTAGATGGTGTTGCACTTGATGGTAAGTAGAATATACTCATTTTAATTTCACATGACCCATAAGGCACAATCCTTTTTTGTACTGGAGTCTTCCATGTTAAGAACAAACTTTGACTGTAGGAAAAGTTCCTAGATACTCTGGAGGCGTGTGCTGCAATTTAATGTAATGTTAAATATTTTTTTTTAAATCTTATCCATCAAATGGTAAGAGTTGCTACTGATTTTTATTCCTTAACTAATTTATGGGTTGTTGATTTGACATCATCATGTGTGTAACCCGCATTTTACAGGTCAGGTAATGTCCTTCCATATGATCGATGACCAAGCCACTCCAGCTCGCCCTAATGTTCGTATTAAGAATCGTTTGAATTTTCGAAGACGCTCATGGGGTGTAACTAAGAAGCGACAGCTGCCGCCGAAGCGCAAGGTAAGAAAATTTTTGTTACGCTTCATAAGTTCTTAACCAATGAGAGTCTGCTAAGCAGGTGGAGTAACTGACCCGTTGGTAAGCAGGGTAATTGTTTTTGAAATCTAGAGCTTGGCTACTTTATTGTGTTTTCAAATTATCAACTGTAAATAGTGTGGTGAACAACTGAATGCTCCTGTAATTCCACTGAAAGATTTTTGGTCACAATTTAACTATTTCCATTTCCATATTATACTTGAAATGCTTTGTAGTTCACAGGGACCATCGGTCGTCGTAAGAATTATCCAAAAAATTTGAAAATATCGAACGAACAACTGGATCGAGAGCTCGACGAGTATATGAATAAACGTCACAAACAAAAGCAAGATGAGCAGAAAATGGAAATATAATTTTTCGCCTTTGTTGATGTTATTTCTTTTTAATATCGCCATTTAACTTAATTTTACATCCAATATAAAAAACCTTATTAAGCCTTAAATTGTTATACTCATGTATTCGTTACACATTAAAAAGGATTGGGGAAAGGAGGAGGAAAAGAGGAGACAGTAGGGATAGGTAGAGTGTGAATATTACGTGTATCTGTAATGCTTGAACTGGTAATTGTGAGAACGCATCGATTTTAACAGCAGTATTTAAAATAACTAGTTTATCTTAATTTCCAAAGAATCTACTAAGTAAACCATTGGTGATCAGTTTATTTTTTCCTGTGTTTCTATGATTATTTTTGCCAAGTGGCATTTTTTTGTCTTGAACTGTTCGAGTGATCTGTCTATTTACCTTGTTACGGTTACAACATATTGTATGTCCTTGTCCTTGTCTCATGCCCTTCTCCCATTTCTTTTTCTTTTTTAATATATTGTCTAGAATTTCAAATTCACTTTCACCAGTTTTAACTTATCGTTTAATACACAGATACAAATATTCAATTTACTTTTACTGATGATTATTTTTTGAAACATTGTAGCTGTTTCATTGTTGCTTACCTCGTTCATTCTGATTCATTATTTATTTGGCGATTTTTTTTTTGGATCGAGCTCTGTTCTTTTAATTACTGGTTTTTGTGAAGTATTTTATTCGGGCGCTTTTGCGCTTATTCTTTTCCACACTTTATCTTTATCTCCCCTTTCTTTTTGTTAAAGATAAAGCTGTTTAATGAACCAGTTATTGAATAAAACTTTGTTTGAAGAAAATTCTGGAAATTATTAATTTTATCAAACATTTTTTCCGGGTTGTTAATTCATGTACTGTTCATTGGTAGTTGCAAGCAGATCATTCCTGTCTCACTGAATTTTGGGTTTTACGAACCCTTCGGTCACAGTCTGGTCATAAAGTTCCATATTTACATGATTAGATGGAGAGACAATGTATGAAATTTGTTGATATCGAGGAAATGGAGCTATTTATGTGCAGATATATGGTAAAAGTTTACGATGATCGTCTCTACATTAAGAAGGATCATATACAAGCTTTATCTGCTATAAATAAAGTAAGTTAATGTGGTTTTCGATAAGCTGTTTTAAAATTTGACAAGTGGTTCGAGGTGAGGATGAAGCTCAGAGGTCATACAACTAAGCAGTAATGCAAATTATTGCTAATTCGGCACTGTTATGTCTGAGCGGTGGAATTAGTCTTTTCATCATGTAATTTGACTGGATATTTTTTTGCTAAGTAAAATCGTGATTTTCCAGATTTCAAATGTATCGTTTGGTTCAATTTTGCCTGATGACTTTATTTCCACTGTGTTTGAATGTATAAGACGAGAAAAGGTCAATTTTTACTCAAAAAAATAATTCATTTAAGATGGAGAAAATAAATTTGAAATATTATTGGTAAAGGAAAAATTACTATAGGAATTATATATATCCGAGCAGTCATCATCAGTATTGTCAGCGACATGTGATGGCAATAAACGATCAACATTACTTGATAGCTTTCCATACATCACTCTGTATTTTACCAGTGATGATGCATCCGATACGCTTGCACCTTCATTGGTATTTCAGTTCTTTTTTTCAATTTTGTTTCATTTAGTAGAGTTTTTGAATGATTTGCAGTACTTGTCCTTATTCTGTCGCAGTTAATTGGCCATAGTGTTTCTCCGATATTTATTATGATGACCTTCTCTATTATATATAATATAACACTGTCTCATACATTCTAAAATTTCGGACTATATATTTTAGAGAAGCTATTTGAATTTGATTCACTGCTTGTTATCATTAGCGGTTTCGCTGTATGATCCATGGAGCGCAACGCGATTGCTGAGCAAGGTGTGTCCTAAAGTTTTGCCAGCTTTGCGACGTTGCGCGCAAGAATCAATGGGACATCTTAATATTATGTCGGTGAATTCTTACTGCATACTTATGGAGAAATTCATTGCCTATCGAATCTTTTAGTTACCTTACTTAATTTACAGTATAGAGCTACATTTTCATTTTAATTTATTATAGTATACCATCAAGACATTAGAAAAGTTTCTTTTTAACCGGCTATGACGAAGAGAGCTAAAGGGTACAACACTGAAAATAGAACTATAGAAAAAATAGTTGAACTTCAATTTGTATTAGGTCTAAGAAGCTTAACGATAATATTTACATTGTCACGAGGTGCAAATCTAGTCGTGAAAGTTTTGTGTTAGCTTTATTCTAATAGATTCTTATGAGGTATTCAGTAGAGGGATTGCAACTCTATCTTTGTTGAAAGATTGGTCCTTTGATTATGAAATAAGAGTTGAGTCCTATTCCAATGTGGTTGTAGCAGAAGAACGATGTGAAGACAAGCGTTGAATTGTACTTTATTGCGAGTCAAACCCAATATTGCAGGGTAGAACACACAAGACTTGGTAAACACAAAAGCAAAACTTGACCAACACAACCCAGAACTTGACAATACTGTCCTGGATTGGTAATATATTGAGTTTGGGGTTGACCCAAAGATTAAAACAATGGGTTTATAAGACTAAAATAACTTAACGAACAGGTAACTGACAAACTAGATCACAGAGTAGGGCCGACAAATGATGAGTTTATAAGATTTGTGTGACCTAACGAACAGATAACTAATAAACTAGATTAAAGGATAGGACCGACATCATGAATTTATGAGTTCATAAAATTTCTGGCGCTTGATTTACTATAATCAAAAGGTCAATGTGAAGTTACGAAACCTGAGATATATTTGGATTATATTTCGGTTTCCTACAAATCTCGTCGGGATGCCTAATAAACAGGAAACAGGAGATAACACATTACCTCTATTACATCCCGTTTTTTGTATGCTCTGATGTATTTCATGTCTTGGATTAGTCTTATTTTCTTATCTTTCAGCTTTCAAGGAATGGGGCTCAGTTACTTGAGGTTAGTCTTCCATCATATTTTAATGAGCAAATAACGAATTTCATTTCATTTAAGGTACTGATTTCGTATGTTATGACAGCACCAGGTGACGATCATCATAATGTTGATGTCGAGCTTCATGCTAATTTTCCGGCATTGAAAAACTTTGTTGACACAGTGATAGCAATGAATGAGACACTGCGGGATGACATGCAGCCAAAGTAAGTGTTCATATTGCTGTGAAAAATACTAACTGTAATATCCAAAAGATTCCTCTTAGTTTCTGCAATTCATTCTGGAAGTTTCATTGCAGTGTAAAAACGGCTGGATAGTATATGAGCATGATGTAACATGTAGCCCTGACTTGAGATATCTTATGTAGAATGTAGGCTACTATAGATTACGTATTTTGTGTTTTTTATAACTGTATCAATAATTCATTTAATAAAGTAAGATTGCATGTATCCGTACTTTTCGATTTCCAGAACAGCGTAATTTAAGAAGAAGCATTCTTAGTTTAATCCGTAATTCGTAAATTGGACTTTTGCCTTTTACCATCCACTTTCCTTTCAATCAAAATATTTGTGTGGATACTGCATTTTCAACTTGTTGAAGAAACAACTACTGTTTTGAAAATTGGGCACTTTGTTTTACCTTGATAAAGACTCACGAATATAAGACAACCCTCTGCTTTCCTTATGCTTGTTCCATAGTATGCCTTATCACTAGGAAACGAATTAATCATAGAGTCCAGGCTACGTTGTTGATGGAAAAGAAGAAATTGGAGATTTTTTAATGAGTTCAGATAATGCTACATATAATGTAAATTTATAGCATAATCTCTTTTGTGAAATTTAAACTATTACAATGTCTAGTGAAACAGTTAAATCCGTACTTAAAATGGCTGCTGAATTTATGGTTACCATACCGAACTATACCAATCTCTCTGTTATGAACAGAATGATCGTTTATCTCAATAAGAACATTGATCAGTTATCAACTAATTTCATATTGATAAATTCGACAATAATAAGCAATGAATATCAGGTGAGTTGTTTCCTGTGTAGTTCAATATTCAAATTCTTGCTAATGCTATAAATTAGTTTTCAAAAATGTGTTTGGAAAGTTTAACTTTTTGCATTTACAGACAAAAACATCCAATCAAACAGGTGCATATGTGTTAGCCATTTCTCTTTGTGATCGACTTACATGCCTCAATGTCACCGAAGATATTGGAGTTGTTTCACCTTTATTTAAGTGATTTTTTTTAAATGTTATTTACAGTTATTGACAGTGATGGTAAATGAATAAGGGATATGTATTAGGAAAAGGGACTCATTGAATCGAAACTGCACTCTTGCTAAATTACGTGAAAGTTTCTACTTACTCCTTAACGTTTCGAAATAAGTTTTCATCATCAAATATATGACTACATTTCAAAGATATATTTCTGCGATAAATATGAAATTTTCTTTGGAAATAAATATGACAGAATTCATAATATTCATTCATTAAGTGATTATTCTGTATTAAAAAAATTGATGTCGGCAGTGCTTATCTGATAAGTTTTATCAAGAAGTGATTTAAGGAAATAAAAATGATTGCAGAGACTATTGAATAACATTTTTGCCTTAGGTATTATTATTTTCAGAAAATATCTTTTCAGAACTCCCAATAACAAGACTGTAGTATCAAGTCCGGTGACTCCTGTTAATCAAAAAGTAGTTGCAGAACAAAATGCAACACCAGATCTACAAGAAAGTCGTATTGCTAGTTTTATCAAGTAGTTTTTTCTCGTTTGCACGTAATTTTTAATAGTAATACTACATTATATTTCCCAGCTTCGTTCGAAAAGGTCACTGTAAAAGAATAAGCTATGGACGAATTTAGCTTTACCGTTTATTGGATTTAGAATTTTTGAAAAAAGTTTTCTCCATTATTTTTATTCATTAATGAAATTTGCTTCTGTCTTAAAGCATTGATACACCAGTATGTCGACCTTTGGATAGAGTGGAAAATTATGGCAACATTACTGTTTCAATGAAAGAAAATATTCCTACTGCTCCGGAAAGCTTGGAATGGAAAAAATGCCACAGGGTTACTATTATAATATAATATATTTGGGAGAAGTTTTATATTGTACATGTATGGTGAGCCTGATCAGAACTATCCTGTTTTCAGCCTACATTCCAAAGATGAGTTTTGAATTTGTGATCCCCAGATTTGTCATTTCTTGTGAAGCTTTTTCATCCATTATGAAGATTGTCGTTACTATCAATCAGACTTGCTGGGTGTTTAAGAAAGCCGAACTTTATTTATGTCACTTGTGAATTTTATTTTTTCTCTGATGGTTGGTACATATTTAGCCCTAATTCTCCGATATATGGTCAAAATCTAGCCCATTTGAATTCTAGGCATTGATCCCGATATCTAAGAAAAGAAAATCATGTAGGAAATTGGATTCATTTGCTGATGCGAAAGGCAATCAACGGAAGTATGCGAAGAAAGATGTTAAAGGTCAGACAAAAATTACTAATTTTTTCAAAAAATATTCATGATTTGTTCAAGAAAATTTTGCTTAGATTATTCTTTAAGAGATGTCTCATTTGTCTGATTTGTCTCCTCTATTTTTACGGATATTATAATATAAAATTGAATCATGATAGCATTATTTTGATATGTATCTAACTGTCTACTAGGAACTCAGGAAACATGTAAATTAAGGGGTGAAGTATTTAGGCTTAAATGCAAGCTATATTGCCTCTCACAAATTACTTTTGATTGTCGAAACATTAATCATTCAATTGTGTTATTCAAATATTTATGGGTTAATTCTTGACTTGATAAAAGTCCATAATTATAAAACATATGACGTAATTTTTTCCCATAAAAATGTTTTTTGTTTTTCTTACAAACTATCACAAAGAAAACTGTAAAAACATCTAGAAAATTTTGTGTGAGGCGTGTCATGCATCATTTTTTCATTCACAAAAAAAGACAATGATAAAAACTGTCCTTAATTCCTTGGAATATTTTTTGCTGATTTCTCGAACACTGGTTAACTGATGAATTTCAGAATATATTATTTATTAATAGTTAGATAATGTAATAGTGTGCGGCCCAACCATATCTTATTCTTTGTTCCCGTTATTCTCATATTTTTAATAAAATACGAGTTGTATACATGGATTTACAATAACTGCAAGAACGTCTTAAATACTAATTTTTGCTTGCTGTTTTTGTTTCAGTGCTATTTTTGAATCTTATGATGTGTCATATACTATTTTAAGAATGTGTCACTATTTTATTTTAAATAAATTAGCAGTTTAAGTTTCATTTCTAATAAAATTGAAAGTTCTAATAAGAAAGGAAAGAACCTTGGGAATTGCATTTAAATTCTCCTGAAAAAAAAACTCTTCTTAAAGTCTTAATGATTTAATTTGAGAAATAATTTTTTATCACTATGAATATTGTTACTGTACAAATTTTTTTTTCAAGGGAACACTATTTTGTATTTTTTGGATTTGGATTTTTTTACGTTGCTTGAACGAATTTTGTGATGCATCTGAAAGCAAATAAAATGAAAACTTTTTCATGTCGTATATTAAGCTCTGTTAATTAATTTCGAATAAAAGTTTCGATTAACAAACGTAAAGTCATATTCGAAAGACTTTGGTAAGGCATTTTAACATATTGAAAGAAAAAGGTAAATGTGATTGTGTTAGGTCCTTGTATGTTTGACAGAGCGGAATCAGTTGATAATTATATTTTGATTAGATTGAATTTAATTCCAAATCTTTATCGGATCAGACTCTATCCCTATTTTTCACCAGTACTCTAGCTTTTCCTATTCAATTCTTTACTGCTATCTAGAAATGCTTTCTGAAATGAAACTGGAGGTTTTTTGATAGTGTTTAGCGCTTTTCTATTTTTTTTTTCTTGATGGTCTGAAAAAATTCAATAAATATAGCAAAATTTTGAAAAGTTTAGTGAAATTACAAAGTGGCTATATTTACTTTCGAAAACGACTTTATGTTTGAGGATCGTTGTGCTTTATCAAGCATTTCCTAGATATTGTTATTTATTACCGTTTCACATTTCTAATATTTATTGTGTTAAACGAAATTAATCACAGATAGGAATCATTATTGTTATAACAATACATAGAATATACATATACATGATATATGGAAGAGAGTGATAAATTTTATTGAACTCTAACTCTTCCGATTTGAACAATAGCTAGCCAATTAGCATTGTATTATATGAACCTACTCCAAATTTCGATTCATTTTATTTTTATTGAAGATAATTAATGCATATGAAATAGTGTAGTAAATAGTATGTGTAGATGACCATTTATTATGTCACACATTACGAAAATGTTAGCCAAGTTCGCAAATCTCTGTATGTTACAAATGTTACTTATACTTATGTTCAGATTCCTTAAGAAACAACCTCTCAATTGTAATTTCCCAAAAGTTGAAATGAATACATTATTGAGAAAATTCAAATTTAATTGAAAGCAAAAAGTCTTAACAGACTTCATTTATCCCAATCACTTTCCAAATTTTCAAAATTTTTTAATGCTAGATTTTTCCTTTCATTTTTTTTTTCACTTCTGAAACTAATTCAATTTCTGAACTGCTGCTTTTGCTTGCTATACATTAATGTAATTAGATTTTCAGAAGGAGGAATAATTGAAAATTCATCCAAATTAATTTTGAAAAGGAACAAATGACTCAATTAATTCAAGAACAGTTTATTTCAGCATCGATTAATTCAATTCTTACGCTAAATAGATGTAATAAATCATATATGGGTTAATATTGATTTAATATAAATTTGATAGATAAAGGAAATGGACAAAAAGTTATTTCTTGGAATTCACTTAAACTTGAAGAAATGAACACTTTTAAAAAGAAACACATTAACTCAATTAATTAAGGAACAATTTATCCGAGATCAAAAGAATAAGCAATAAGTGAATTATGGCAGATACTTATCTTAAACAATCAAAAGTTATCAGAAAATATGCAAAAATAAAAATAACAAAAGAAAAATAAAAATGCTTGGCAAAATTAGCAATTTTACACAGTAAAAAATGCAAATATATATGATTGATTTGCAAATGCCTTGATGAAATATTCAAAGTAAAAATTCATGTAAGAGTAACAGGTAGAATTTAATGATGGAAAATGAAAATGTTGCGTGAATTAAATCGAAGATACCATGGAAGTTTTCGAGTCAAATATTTCCGAAACCTTCCGAGATATCCCAGACTTTAATACGCTTTGATAGGCTTCGTTTTCTTTCTTTTTTTACATTAATAACGTGAAGGTCAGTTACAGGAATTCGTAATACTTAAAAGTTCTTTGGAAGGAATCAATTTCTCAAAAATAATAGCAAACACACTTTTGTAGAGTTTGACGAAGATTCTTCTTGCATTGAAAACGTTTGAAATATTGTTTTTGAGCAGCAAGAAGATTTTGTTAATTTTCCCAAATTGAAAATTATTTAACAATTTGATGATAATGCTATCGCATCACAATATTTCATTTATTATTGGCGCAAATCTATATTTCGCCCTCCCAAAAAATGAATCACAATTGCAAATAAAAATATTTTCTCTCTTCTTCTTTCCCTCTTTTTCTCTCTCTCTCTCTCTCTATCTCTATCTCTTTCTATCTCTATCAGTTATTTTTCTATTTAGGCAATTAATAGGCTTGAATTGTTATCTTTCTGATTTATTTGAAACTTTCAGGAATATGTAAACCTGAAAGATAAGAATAAATTTATGAAACAAGAATAATAATTGCGATTGTAATATTGAAAATGAAAAATTAATAATGGATAAAAAACATTGAGTGTAACAAAAATAAAAAATAAATGGAATGGAATAAAACACTTTTGTGATTGAATGATAAATGTATGTATGTTATGACTGTTAAAATGCAACATGACATCAAATCATTTTGTTTTGTTTTTTTTTTTTTGATATGTACGATACGATATACGATATGAATGATGATATTAGTTAGGATGCTAATTAATGAAAAGTTTTCAACAACTTTTGATCAATAGTTATGTTACAAAAACTTTTAGATTAGTTTTGGTTACAATTTAATAACTTAAATTAAACTAAATTTCGAACTTGCAATTTTTCCTCATTTTATTCATTCATATTAAACTTTACAATTATTTTGAAAGAATTAAAATAAAACTTCCATGTATTTCACGTTGATCAATGTTTGTTTATTTAAAATTGAAGAGATCAAACAAAACATTCGATTTTTTTTTCGCAATTCCTTCACTTTCACTCACTATTATATAAATCATATTGAAACTGATTAAGTGCAATCAAGCAACTTTCGATGAATCAGTAAATCATGCGATACTCTCAACTAAACTCTCTCGTTAATGGGTATGGAAAAAAAGAATGTGTGATAAAAATTTTGGAGTAAACAGAGAAAGAATTAAAGGAATTTTACCATGGTTTAAATAAACACAACTCAAATATCAATAAAAATGAATTATGCAAAGAGGCGATAAGCATGATCAAATCCCAATGATAGTTTTATTTCCATCATTTAGAAACAAAATCATATTTATCTGTTTAGCAATCAATAAAGCATTAAAATAGATATGACATCAGTTTTTGTTGAATCAATATTTTATAGTGTAAGAGGAAAATGATTAAGAATGGAATTCAGATGAAAACACTATGAAATTCCAAGGAATTATTCTTATCATTGATAATAGTCATCTTTAACAAATATGCATGGAAAGTTTTTTGCGTTCGTTTGTAAAATGAATGATTCAAACTACATTTGATATGTATGACCAATAAAGCAATCAAGCAACTGCAAACTTCTTTATCATTTGGCAATGTAACTTCTTATCATTTTGTGCAATGTAACTTCTTATCATACCTTAAAATCTGATAATTTTTTTTCTTCTTTTTTGTATTGAATAATAATATTTAAGCTATCAATTAACACATAAAATAAAAAGTTTATACATTATCATCAGTCCTGTTGAATACATGGCGCTATCGTTAAAATTGCAGCGCTAAAATCTAAAATCCATAACTTTTCATTTTACCAAAAAATTTAAGAAACATAACTAATCCATAATTAATCGAAATATTTTACTTAAAAATTAAAAACTGTATAGCCATGAAGTTTTTTCTTCCATCCTTTTTTTGCATCCCACAACACCTAACGGACATAAACTATATTGAAGAAAGATTGAAACAAAATTATGTGAAATTTTTTTTACAATAAAGTAAAAATTTACTCTTATTTTAAACAAATTTTTTAAAATTCCTAAAAAAAGAGAGAGAGAAAAAAAGGAAATGTATCAAAGGGATGTATCGTCAGTAAATGCATACGTACAACAAAAAAAAAAAAAATTTAAACAAACAATAAAGCGCGGTCAATAATAATTGTTGCAGAAATTTTGAAGTCAAATAAAATGCTTTTCAAACAAAGCATTTTATTTGACTTCAAAATTTCTTTTTGCAATGCAGCAATATAAGCTGCTCATAGGAAGAGTTTTTTGTTGAAGCGATGATGCTCAAAAAAATTTCAACATTTTTATAATCCATAATCCATATTTCATTGCTTTTATTTGTTCCAAGCAACTTTCAGTACTTTTCTCTTTCTTCTTCCAATCTTTTTATTCTCTTTTTTACGATACCCAACGGATCCATTACAGCACAACAACAAAAAGATATTATCAAAAAATGTTCAATTTCTTAAAAAAAAAAAAGAAAAGACGACCCCACTTTGACTTATGCACATTTCACTTAAGAGAAAAAAAAAACCAAACAGAGAATTAAGATCGAATCAGTTGGTAAATAACAAAGTCACGAAGTTTGTTTTTTTTTTTAAAGATTTTCATTTTATTTTAATTAAATGTATTATTCGCACCTTTGCACCTCTTCTTCAACCCTTTTACTTGTAATTAGCAAATTTTAAATCACCTTTTCATGCACATACAAATTATCAGCTTCAGTACGACGAAATGGAATAAACAAACAAACAAATAAGCAAATCCAGCAAAAAAAAATTTACAAAAACAAAAATAAAAAAAAAATCGAAATTCAATCTCTTCTTTTTTCTTCGTTTACAAATGACATAATAAATAAAGCAACAGTGTAAAATGACAAGATTATACACAAATATCTTGGGTTAATCACCCGCTATGGCAATTCATTTCTATGCATGTATGTAAGATAAACAATGAAACAATTTAAAAAAAAAAAAGAAAAAAAAAAGGCCAAACTGAAATGAAATAATTGAGATAAATTAAAAAAGAAGAAAACAAATTTTCCTCTATTAAATAAAATTGTTCATTTCCATCTCATAATTTTACAGCAATAGTTGTCCATAAAAATGAAAAATTTTTTCAAAATTTAATAGCTCTAACAAAAAGAAAAACTAAAGATAAAAGAACTACAAATCGAATTTGAGAAAAAAATTTTTTTTTTCTGAGAAATTTTTCAAGAATTTGTTCCGAAATGATGCATACTACATAAATACCTTATTGCCAATATATCTGAGCCAAATGAGCAGGATATTAACTTACTGGCTTTTGAAATTAGAAATATTCCAAGGGAATATATGCATTATTGATAATGACATACTAAATAGTTGGAAAAACATTTAATGCTAAAAAAATTCACGCATTAAATGAAATTCATTTTTAATGAATTCAAATAAATAGTTTGTTAGCAACGATATCATCGTAACACGGATAAGTATTAATCGTCGTATAGAACCGTCCTTCATATGTAAATGCATGTTGTAGGTCATTATTAACAATGCATTTATCATCAGGTATACTTTAGTATTTTAAATTCAATAAATCTGAATAAAATTTCACTTCTACATTCATTTTTCTTGCTAAAGTATGCCGGTAATAATCTGATATGCATATATTAATCTGGAACAGTAAACGAGGAAATACAAACATAAGACGAAATTCACGAATTTTATATTCTTCACTTCTATCAGGTATTTTTGAAATAAAAGAAAGAAAAACAAAAACAAAAGCGCATTTGATGAAGAACGTGAATTTTAACAAAAGGAAGAAAAAAATAAAAAAAAAATACAATTTGAACAAGAGAGGAAGTAACTTGCAATTCGGATTTTTTTTTTGTCGAATAGTACACTAACACGATGAACATGTACATCATATATGCCAAATTGTCTGCGATTTTCCTATAATTTAAAAATAAGAAATTTTAATTTCACCAATTAAAGTTATAATTTTAAAGGCAAAACAATAGTTCTGGATAACTTGTAAATATTACTATCGTCAGGATGGTTCCTTTTTATATAAATATATTTGTAGTTTGTGAAAGAAATACCACAAAACTGTCATGGATAATTTAATTATGGTAAAAAGAAAATGTTTACAAATCACTCCAACAAATGTCCCAGGATGATTTCTGTTTTTTACTCCAATCATTTGGCTCCCACTTCAAGAATTGTCATTTAATTTTAGTAAAACGATTACTACTAATGCATGCACGGAACACTAGATATTATGTAGTCACTTAATTCAGAATCTAAAGGATAACCAACGGAATTTGCTGTCATTTAACATTAAATTTTATTATCACCCGTTCATTATCCAGTAAATTATTTCCAATAAATACTGACAATTTAATGTTAGAAGTTGAATTTATAAAGCTTTCAAAAAGATACCTTTGAATGAATTGAATATCCTAACAATACAATTACTATACATAATCGGCACGCTGCCATCCTAAACTTCCTTTACAATCATCTGACGAAAAATCCTAAATGTCAGATAATTTGAATTTTTTAATTTAAAACAAACAAATTAATTATTGGTACTAATTTTCGGTCAAATCTTTACTTCTAAAATTTGATGAATAACAACTTTTTGTTGTCTCTTTCACCGATATGAACGTTAATTTTAGGTCATCAAAACGATTAACTGATTTCGAAGGAGGAATGAAAAATGTGGACAAAAAAAATTCAATAAATGATAAAACATCTTATTTTGTTATGCGAGAAAAAGAAAAAAAAATTCTTGATTAGAAGAATTTCAAAAAAAAAAATCATGCTTTATCACTGGAAACTGTTGATGTATAGAGTGAAGGAATTTTGGGCGCATTCGAGTCGATCAACGTCAATTTCTTGTCCGTATCGCGCACTTCCGGAGTAATTTCCTAAAATCACTAAAGATAATAATCAATAGGTTGTTCTATTTTTTGGATGTTCCTTTATTAAGCAAACTAAAAGAAATTTTATAGAATATTTACAGGTCAATAAATTTAAAACTGGATAGATTTAAAAATTCAAATTAGTAGTACTATAATGTGATACAATATATTTTAGCAGCAGACCTTCCTCAAGAATTCCGGAATTTCAAACATCCTTTCTCTACCATCAATATGATGTTGTTTATTTTGTTTCCTCGAATCAGTACTTGTCACAGTTTCAAGTAACCTAAGATTTTCAACGGCAGTATCTTCACCACAATATGGAATGTCAGCCATAGCGGCACTAGGCGTTCGTTGAAATGTTCCTAACGATTTTCGCCTACAAAATGCAAAATATGCGCTGCATAGATAAATCAGACGGATCGTAGCATTTTGACGAAAAAATTACGAATAAAATCAAAAAGTTTTATAAATCAAAGGTATCGGATATTGTTTTGTCCAAAGATACCATAACCTATTTCAAATAAAGGAGTTGAACAAATCAAGAGGGATTTCATTCCAGTTCTGTACCCAAAATTATTTTTCATCATAAAAAGTTAAATATCCGAAGGGCTATTCCGACAGGTAAGAAAGAGAAATTGAAGCATAAAAGACA